ACATCATGTTGTCTTCCTGCATTTTACACTGGAGGCCAACAAAAAGATTAAGGAAACAAGATTTACAAGACAGACTTTCCCTGACTTGCAAGTTCAAATCATAGCTCTGTGGAAAGTCCTTTTGAAACTTCACAGCATGATTTTTGCTCGCTTTCTGTCACTACAAGCAATGTCTGGGATTGCTAGTTTATAAGGAGGGTTTATTTGGACTCACAGTTTTGTGGGTTCCGGCCCTAGGGCAGATGTGCTAATGCCTTCTGAACCCTTGTACAAGTGCCAGGGGACAAAGACAGGAAGCACATGAGGAAGCAAACTGCCCACCCACCACCAGGGGTGAAAGAGAAGAGGATGGGGACAGGATCCCGCTATCTCCTCTGAGTGCCTGTGCCTTTGGTCCAGAGAGATTTCAGCAATCCTTTAAAGCCCCACTTCCACCATCTTCCAGTATCACCACCTCTGGGGCTGAGCCTCCAGCATGTGGACCTTTGGGCGGACTCAGCAAGGCACAGCATAATGGGGGAGCGCCTGCATTCAATTTCCTATCACACAATGGAGATCATAATCTATTGGGCTGTACGGAGAAGTGAAAGAGCTGCTCATAGAAGCCGTTAACACAGTGCCTGGCAAAAGCAAGCCTGGCCTAAGCCTTCAGTCAAGGTGAGCTTTGAAAGGACTCCATACTCTCAGCAGCCTAGGTATGATGAAGAGCAGACCCCAGGGCATGCTGGGATCTATGGGTGGAAAGTGGTTGGCTATACCCTGGTGCTGACTGTTCCATGGGGTTGGTAACCTTGACAGGGATGAGCTTGCTGTACTGACTGGGCGCACCTCTAAACATTGCCACCTCAGGGCTGGCCAAACAGCTCAGCTGATTAAAGTTGCCTGCGAGCAAGCAGCTCAGGGGCCAAGGGTTGGTCCCTGGGGCCTGCTGTGCTGACCCTGTCCCTGGGGCATGCTGAGGTGGGAATTGAGACTGGTTGTGCCTGTAATCCCAGCTCTTGGGGGCTGTAAACAGGCAGATGACTACGAGTCCAATCTAGTATTGAGACTCTGAACACCCTGTAGACCCTTCTAGAAAAAAAAAAAAGCCTTGTCACGTCAGGTACAGATTATTTGTATAAATTTATCATCACAGTAGTGAAGATGTCACACCTGAAGGTCTGCGTCCTGCAGAAAACCCCACTTTGGATGCATTAAAGGCCCAGCTTGCTCACTGGCAGGCAGGTCTTGCTCTCTTTTAGGAAGAAGGTGGGCTGAAGGAAGCTGTCCCTGATTTCTGTATTTGCTCTCTGTGGTCCAGTGTCCTCATAAGAATATTCTTTTGTTAGATGAGAGAATTATGGCAATTTTCCAGCAGGTATATAGTCTTCCCACAAGCGGGAGCTCAGCTGAGGTGGTACAGTGAGTACGCAAATGTCATACTCTGGGCATTAGCCAAGCTGAATGCAGGATGTAGAATGATTTAAACTGTTTCTTAGAGAATTAACTAAAAAGAACCCAATTAATCACCATACATACGCTCAGCTATCTGAGGGCCAACTTGCCCATACTACCAGGCAAGATGTCTCACTTTGTGCCACAGTGCCGTGTTGCCACCCAGTGCCAGCTATTTCTCTCCCTCTGTACCTATTCTCTGCCTTCCCCAAGCCTGGTCCCAGCCCGCACTCCTGGGCACTGTGATCAGAGGTGATGAAATGCGCCCCCGAGAGCCACCGTGTACACCTGTGCTTTCATTCCTTGATCTAATTTTGCTTGAGGACATAGAAATATCTTACAAAGAGAATTGAGAATAAGCCGGAATTTTGTCATTCCCTCTATCTCGCTTTGCTAAGTCATTTCAAAGTCAGGGGTAGAAGCTGAGTGCCGGGAAAGGCCAACATAACAGAACTACCATATATTTTTCCAGAACTGTAGAAATTCAAAAAGGTGAGAAAGAATGAAAAGTCTGAAAATATTCTATACAATAATTTTTTGAGTAAAATTCATGGAGGGCCAAGAAAAAAAAAATCCTAGACATAGAAAATCACTAGAGCCAAGGAGATTAGCATAACAAACATTTACCCAAAATATTTATAAATTGTTTAGTAAAAGTTGTACAGAAAACATAATTTAACACTTTTTACATGAGAATAATTCACTATTATTTGCATTCCAGAAGAACAGTGGAACTTGTAGACACAGCAGGTGAAGTGAATGCCATGTGTAGCTGCTTCAAACGTGTCTCCCCTTGGGACAAGCATGGGACAAATGAACACCTGAGGGCTCCAGTAACTTCCTAAGTGGAGGTCTTACGTCCTTCATACCACATGGGATGCACAGACATAGGAAATCCCTGTGCCAGGAAGAAAGTGAATTAAATGTTCTCATGATGGAAAATTTATTTAAAATGTAAATAAAGCATTGATCACCACCAACAAAAAAGTAGAAGCTGTTGTTGAGGGGCACACTGTCAATTTTCTTTCAAAGAAATGTTCAGAAGATAATCCCACTACTTAGCAGTCCAAGAGGCTAGTTTGCTATTGTTTAATTTTGTGTATAAAATTAAATATAGACGTTTAAGTGACTCAGCAAGGGCCAGGGCCCTCACTTTGTAAATGTTGTGAGCCTGCGCAAGAGCCCGAGCAAGAGGAGGACAGGGAAATGGGCCGAGTGCTACGCCTGCTCTAGGGCAGGTAGCCTGCTCACACCATCAGGGAGGCAAGAGGTGGCTCTCACCCTCTTTGCCCTTGTTGCTTTTGCTGTCTTGTGCTGCTTGAGCTGTTGCCTGCACTGCGCTACCCTGGCTTGGAGCCAGCTGATTACGGACTGAAGCCTCCACAACCTGTGAGCTAAATAAACCTTGCCTTTCTTAATTTTAGGTACCACTGTGTTTTGTCTTAGGTATGACAGAAAAGTAACTAAGACATTCTTTTTAAAGTTTACTTCTGGAAACTTCAGAAAATTGATGATTTATAATTCAAAGGTTATTTAGATTAATGTTTTTATTAAGAGTACCTCTATATTACCTAGTTAATTATTTCCAGGTTAGCAATTTACCGTGAAAAAATATTCTAAAATGTATTTGATAGTCTACTTCCTTTATTATCAGAAAATGTCATTAAACTTACAAAGAGTAAAATGTACATACTGGTAACTAAGCCTGACAATAGTAATGCTTATAGTTCATCTCTTCCCTCCATCTTACATTTACTTTAAGTGTACTACATAGGAGAACTAAAATACAAATAAAAAAATTAAAAATTTATTTTCCAAAACATATCCAGTCTGAACTTGTTGGCATAGTTTTAGGTTCTGGTTTAGCTTCTGAGGTAACTCTCAGTAAACTAGAACACAGGCACGTTTTCTTCTAATCATAAAGCTACTAGTATTTGGACCCATGTAGGAGGTGAATATTGATAGGCATACTCATGGTAAATAGGTAAGAGGTTGGACACCCCAGGGGCAGGGCCAGCAGGCAGGCCCGGGGATCCAACCCCCGGACCCTGTGCCTGTTTGCAGGCACTTTAATCCGCTAAGCTATTGGGCCAGTCCATGATAC